TCGGATAGGGAAGAGATGGCCGAGGCGGCCATCTCCACATCCGACATTTGGTCATTGTCCTTTGAAGAGTAGTGATCTCTTGGTAGTGATGAAGAATTATAATGCTGATTGGTGGCCAACATCATCAAGCTCAGACTGGCCTCTTGTTCCTGCTGTTGATTATGGGTGGATGGTGGTTGTGGTGGTGGTTGCGATTGTATTGAGCGAGGGTGATAATATTCTCTTCCTCGCTCACCAGAATAGTCACCACCGTAGACGCTACCATCACCGCCAGCATTGGCGGAACCGTGGTGATATGGCTGGGAATGCTGCGGAGGCGACGCGTGTTGATGAGGATGACTGTGAGCAGCCGCACCGTCATCAACCAATATCTTTCTCAAGCTAAAACCTCCGGCACCAGAATTTGATGATTGCTGCTGTTGATGGGGATGATTGTGTCGACGGTCTGGTGAAGGGGGAACGATAGGGTTATCGTTCATGACGTGAGATATCGAAGCTTTGCGAGAATCCATCTTTTATTTTTTGCTTCTGATTTTTCTGTGCGTGCACAAAAAAAATAAAATCCGATGGGATGAATTGTGTATGGCAAAAGAAGTGCTGGTGAAAGGGTGATTTCTTTTGACCTTATTCAAAAAGAAAAATAGAATAGAATAAAATAAAATAAAATAATAAATCCGTTTTTTTTTTTCGGCCGAAGATGTCCAAGAAAGACTTTTTTTTTTTTTTTTACTACAATTTATTTTAGCGAGGCGAAATTTTTTGGCATTTCAACAGAAGAAAATAAAGGTGACAGGGAAAAACAAAAGGTATATATTTCCTCAAGCTGAAGGAACAGAAAAAAAAAAAAAAAAAAAAAAGCACGGAGAAGACGACCACAACAACACAAGAAATTGAATTTACAGAAAAACTAAGACATGTCGGCCTATAAAAAGTTAAAGATCCCTATATAAATAAATTAAAGTAACATATCTATGGATTTTTTTTGAACCCCCTATATAAATTCATTGTTTAAAAGAAAAAAAAAAATTTTTTTTTAAATTAGGATCAGCGCCTGTATAAATCTATTGTATAAACGGGCACCATTGGGAGGTCCGGAACGCCGTTTAGAAACAATTAAGCCACACAGTAATTCAGTAATTGATCAATTCATAAGGTAATAATAGGCAGGCAATGAAAATCGAGTGACCAAGTTCTATTATTACGCGTGCAGTTTATCTGCGTGACGTCATTAGGAACGGCACGCACACACATGGTCCCACTGCTTCATACCATTGAGGCTATCCGCCTCGCTCGCCATTCCAGTCAATTATTATATGTGCACTTTACGATGCCGGCGACAGCGTAAAGTTTCAGGGAAAACATGAGCAGCGAGAGAGATGGCGTGTTGCGATACGCAGAGTTGTAAAGTAAGCTGCAGTGTCACCGCATTTATTGGGTTATCTTTTTGGAAACACAAAATAAAATAAACAAGTCAAGTAATGTTGAAG